AGCAAGGGAAGATCACAGCACCTTAGGACACTCTTTGTGTACATCATGGTGCCTAAGAACAACCATCTCCTTCCTCTGCCTTTCACAACTCCTCTGAGTAAGGAAAGAGGAGAAAAAGCCCATCCCAACACGGCAGGAAGGCCTTTACTAAAAGGTGCATTAATTGGGGAAGGCAAGCCAACGAAATGATTAATTTGCTGCTCTCCTTCAATATTATGTTTACACAAGTTGATTACAGCACTTAATTACTAATTCACCCTGCTCAAAAACAAGAGTTCTTTAAATTTTTAATGAGATGAGGGAAGGCAACATTCCCTAACTCAACTGGGAGAAGTCATTTTATTTCCTCTTTTGATTTCCCAAGTTATTACCATTTCTAAGGAAACAACTATCCCCTCCCTGATCTTTTACTCGGTTCTTCCTTTTGAAAATATGGAAATCAACAAGAGGCTTGTATTAATTTCAATCCATGACCCGACAGGTAATGCTTTGGAAGAGGAATAGAGGATCAGATCATCAACTGAAGTACATCCATTGAAATAAATGGAAGAAAATTATGCCAGAAACTGCCTGATCCAGAAATGGAAATGGCCTAATCCCCTCCAGTTCTGTCAGCAGAAGTGTTGAATATGTCCCAGTACTATTTATGGGTGTTCTTATGAAATGCTGCCTATTCCCCATTGCCAGCTGGTCCATTACCAAGGTTGTGGACTAACTGTTGTACCAAGGAACTTCTTTACATTCATAACAATCTGTAACATTTTAATTGTTCAAAGGCAAGTAAGTTGACTATCAGATGTTCTTCCTTGCTGATCTTTATAAAACCTCTGTTATCTGTGGGGTTTGTTGTTTGATTTTATGCTTTACCACCCAACAACAGCCTAAGACAACAGAGAAGAGATGTCCATTAAATTAAGCAAAACCCTGCAGTGCACAAACAAAACTCTTCTGAGCTCCTTTAGTGGAGTTGCAAGTGAATCATTTCCCCTGCACCACCATAACTTCAATCCCCACCTGCAATATAGTCCAGAGTTATGGACACAGGAGCCAGTGATCCTGATCCACACAGCTCCTACTGCTGCGTCCAGGGATGCAGATCATGCCCAGGGGGTACTTCACCTGCTCAGCTGCTACTGCTGCTAAATAATTCAGCTAATCCACATTAGATAATTACCCAAAAGCTCTTTCTATAGAATCCAGCTCATTTTTAGACCCCTCCAATCTGCTTGATAAAAATAATGAAAAAGCTTTTTCCCATCCTTTTGCAGAATATACCAGCAACTTGCACAACAACCAAAACTAACAAAAAAAAGGCTAAACCTCCCTTGAAAGTCAATTTGTACCTGAAAAATCTTGTAATCATGAGGACTTTAAATTCTAGCTGAATGTTTGACACCAAAAATGATTACAGAAAGCTGATTACAGAGAGGTACCAACAAAATGCATTTTAGAAAATCAGAGTTTCTTCTCTCCCATACTGGCCACTAACAATGTCCCACATGAATGCAGAATATCCAAAATAAATCTGGTTATCTGGTTTCATACAGGTAATTTTATTAATTGTTTTAATATGCAATGAAGGAATAGTCAGGGGGCTGCAGGGGTTTATAAGGCAATAATCCCGTTCCCTCGTGTACAGCTTTGTCCCAAAGAGTGGGCTATTCAAAAAAAAAAGGGCTGGATAACTGCCAAGTCAAACAGCACCTTCTTCCCATTTTCAATTATGAACGAGTGAGGCAGAGTAACGAGGATATACTGGAAACTTTGACATTTATTTATTGAACATTTTCTCTGAGAAGGAATTGCTGGCTTGCTAAACCGGAAACTATATTTTTACTATAGAAACAATCCCATAGAAACCCAGGATCCTGCAGCTCAGCATGACAGGAATGGCCAGAACCAATAAACTGACCCATCTAAGCAGCAATGGGAGGGTTATTTCGTTCAATGCAACATATTTCAAAAATCCAAATCCCCAAAATAAGAGTCTGTATTTCAAAAACCTTTATGTCACAGGATTTCACACAGCACTGTCTGCTGGGACACAGCCAGCCTGTGTTAGAGCTCATGGGTACCACAAAACCACTCACAGAAAAAGGGTGTAGCATTTGGACAAATTAAAAGATGAACCAAGAAGAAATTCAGTTTATTTTCTCCATTTTCCAGAGTTTCTAGAAACTAAATAATGGAGAGATGAAATGGGGAAGATCTCACCACACTGCATGTTCTTTTTTCTTTTTGGATAGACCAATTGTTTTACCACAGAGGAGAAAAATGCAGGGAGAGTAAATGAAGAGGAAAATAGGGAAGTCAACGTTCTTTGAAGCAACAACATATGGTGACCAGGCCTGAGAGATGGAGGTTATAAATCTTCCCTTGATCGAATTACCTAAAAATGAAATTGCAGCTTCAAGGGGCTTGAACTTTTAAATCCACACTAGGAGCTTGCAAATTAACCTGTATTGTCACAAATTTTGCAAGGACCTTCATTTCCAACGCTTCTTTGTAAAGGCTCAGCATACTGAGAATGCTGGTAATACAGATGTGGTCAGCAGAAAGCATGAAAACCTTTACCCAAATCACTCAAAATATGAAGAAAAATATACGAAAATTAAGAATTAGAATAAAATGCTGCATTCTGAGAACAGTTGCTGCTGTGGTATGGAAAGGGAAAAGAGATGGGAGGTACATCAGTGCTTGTTTCTTTGTGAGAATAAACTTATTTAGGGACATCAAAGGAAAAGGTCTTTAATGTTCCAGTCACTATGAGCAGGTCAGCTCATGGTGCCATTTCAGCCCCGAAGCATCAGGTTCAGCCCCACTAGTGGGACTCACTGTTTGTTCAGCAGCCAGTCCTTCAGCCAGCAGAGCATGGTAGAGCTGGACTAAGATTATCAGAAGTGATTTTGAGGGATCCTGGCTTTGGGTGCTACTTCCAAGCTGTCCTAAAAAGGCTTGAGTTTTAGAAAATGGAGAACAGCCAACCCATAAAAACCAGAGAGCTTTCAAGCATTTTGATCCTGACATTGAGTGGAAATGTCCAAAAATCATTCTGAGAAATGTGACCAGTGAGTGGGAAAGCTACAGCAAAAAATCCCCTTCAAAAAACCGTAGAAATAAGGAGAGAGATTATTGAAAAAACCCACAATTTTCTCCTTTACTATTAGACTGAGCCAACAAAGAGCTTTGGAAAGGACGGTAATTAAGCACAAACCATCTATTAGAGGAGAGGTAATAACCTCTATTATTTGCAAAGTCTACAACGATGCTGAATGTTTGCAACAGCACCTCTAAGAAAGGGTTGTTTTGGAACATGTGTTACAAAAATAAATGTAAGAGATGTTACTGAACTGCAGTGCTAGATATGCATTTACACTTTCCTGTCCCTAAAATAAATTTATTCAGTTTCTCATTCCTTTATCCCGTGTAGCTAAATTCTTGTAAAACTGTTTTTACGTAATCCAACATATTGCAGTTAAAAAGTCTGCAACATGGCTGGTTCAAAGGATTCAGTTTCACTGAAAAAGACATCTGAAGGGGTGTGTTATGAACACTGACATATTAATGTATGTATAAAATATATGTATCTGTTCTGACACTACTGGATATGCTTCTGAAATATTTTTGTATATAAGGGCAAGGTTTAAAACTAAAAGTAAGTGAATACAACAAAACATATACAAACACATCACAGAAAACTTCACAGCATTAGATTTTTCAAGTGTTGATTAAAACAGACTGGATAAAATCAGTTTTGAGATGTTCAGTTATTGCATAGTAATGGAAAACATGGCAGACTTGGAATGAAATATGTATTTGAAGGCAAAAGATTAACAGAAGAGTGAGAAATAAATATAAAGTCCTGTCACCAAAGTTGCTACCGAAATTACATTTATCAAAACAAGTTCTTCTTTCAAGCATTAGAACTATTACATACAGATATTATATATATATATATTGCACTATATATTTGTTGCAAGGGGATTAATTTTAATGGAAAAATTCTTATGAAAGGAAACTGCTCTTCCTGCTAACCTACATAGCACTGTAGAATATTCCCATTTGGAGAAATGCCAAGTGCAGCCCAGCTCCTCAGCTTATGCTGAGCTGTTTATTGATTCCAGTGGAACTGCATCAATTTAACAAGGTCAAGAAGCTGAACTCCCTATTCAGAAAATATATCCAGATAAGCTTTTGTGCAAAATTTCATCCACAAGTATCTGTGCCTGATGTTATAAAGCAAAATGTATTTAAAAGCATAAGGGACCATCCTGATAAATAAGTTTGTCCAACTGAATGCAGTGTGTTGTTTAATGTCCTTGTGCAGCATGAAGAGAGGGGATGTCTCATACCAGTGGGATTGCCAGGTGGGAAAACAGGCATGATGTGGGGAATTCAGCCCCTTCCTCAGGTTTCTGTAAACCACTATGGTTTATATAAACACTGCTAAGTCATGCTTTGGCTGATCCACTGAAAATAAAAGCCTTACTGCTACTTTTGCAACTGCTAATGGATTGAGATAACATGAATAATCATGAAGTTCCATTCTCATTATTAACTCTGCATTCACTGTGGGCAAGATGAGCTATAGGTGTGTTATATTTTACTGCATAAATAGTGCTGTGCTGCTTCTTGTGTTTAACATTCCTCAATATGAAGGAAGGAAAGTGGGACAAATATAACTGAGATGAAAGCACGACCTTCCTGTAGGATCAGAGCCTTGCCAAATTCCCTGTTTTGTCTGTAAAATTACATGGCCCAACTTCATAGACAGCAGCTTCCATGCCTGTCCCTACAGTGAAAAGGCAGATGAATCCTCAACACACCCAAATGTGGAGTTAAACAGAGGGAGGGGAGAAGGCAATGCTGGCTCTTGTCCAGCCATGCAGAAGTTACAAACTTTTCCACTTAGGTTGAAGTCTGTGTGTGGTGCCAAAAGTCAAGGTGTAAAACATACTAAAATTGAAAAAAAAAAAAAAGTAAAATCGGGTATTTCATACCTGTATAGATGCAAAGTCCCCAGAAGCACAAGCTGCAAGAATAGCAGCACCCACCAAAACAGACTCCACCTCTCTGGACAGGACAACAGGCTTCCCTGCACAGGAAAGAGCCAGATCTGTTAGACAGAACACAGCAGGACTGCACCAGCAGCACCATAAATAATTAAAGCAAAAAAGAAATCAAAAAGGGCTTGAAAACCATTATTCATGACTCCATTCGCAGCTACCTTCTGCTGTAGGTTAATGTAAATTACTCTGCTCTGTGGTTCCAGGCTTCAGGAAAAATGCAGGATTTAAATACAACTATTTCAACAAATATTAATGCAGAACATAAAGCACACAAAAACCAACCCCCCAAGATCTTTTACACTAGCTATTTATCTCACAGGGCTTGGTATAAACCTGTTACCCACACCCTCCAAACCCACGTGCCCATTAATAGTTGACCTGGAGGGGAAAACAGGGCGGTGTCCTTTTTGTTTCTTTTGCAACAAACAAACAAAAAAAGACTGTTTGTGTTTGGTTTTAAATATATAGCCAACAAAGCCAGTCTGGTTTTGCTGGAAGACATGAAAAATATAAGTAGCAAACTTTCTCAAGCTATGTATGAAATAATAAGGGAAAACTTGCCTTCCAAATTGTGCAAGATACTCAAAAACAAAATTAAAACACTGGAAAAAGAAACAAACAATATAGATTCTGAAGCAGAATTAAAACATATTGTTTCATCACCCAGGGCTACTAAAGTGAACATACTTTCCCTTCTGGTTCACACAAAGTGTGAGTGTCTGAGATATGTTTCACCAGTGTAAAAACAGGAGGAAAAATACTAATAAATAAAAACTACCCTGCTTTATTAATTCTCCTGAAACATCTAAACCAAGAGCATAAGTCTAAATACTTTTCTAGTTGCACTTCTGATGCTTATCCTCACTAAGCCGAAAAATTTAATATTCCTACAGTATTTGGCATGTGGCTAAATTTCCATTACTGAGATAATGTCATTGAGTGAATGATGATGCAAACACAGGGGTGGGAGGAGGGATTCCTTCTGAGAATAGTCTCCATGATATTATGCCCCAAAAAATGCTGCTCCTGAGACCCAGCTGGAAGATCAGAAGGAGCTGGAATTTGGAGGAAGACCTAAAGTAGCCATGAACAACTCCTAGAGAGGAAAAGGCAAATACACACTTTGCAAAACGAGGGATAAAATTATTAATATAAGCAGCAATTACTGACACAAAGAAAATTCTCCTTGCAACTTTGCCCTGTCACCTGAACATTCCACCAGTTCAGCTGGATCACAGCTCAGGACTCGGGTCAACCTGAAACAGCAATTCTAAAGCTCAGGCTCAAAGCTCCAGGGCTGTTTGTCAGGCGTCAGTGAGCAATTTTCAGCGTGCTCGAAAATTTACTGCCCATTTCCCGCATCATCAGAATGAATTAGGAATTCTTACCAGGCAAACAAAAAGATCAAGATACTTTTTAAGTGGCCTGTGGAATTATCTATTGGATGTCTGCATGGCTGAGTCATGGGCATTTGCAGCTAACAATAATATATTCAGATTTTTTTCTTTTCGGGAAAGAATGGGGGATTGATCCTGGAATGTTAGTTATTTTATCTGATAGGCTCTAATGAGTTCAACATAACCAAGAGCATTTCAGTGAGATGAACTCTGACATCCCTTGTCAGTCACTGATTTTACAAATGGGGGAGAACTCCAGACTGCAAAAAGGCCTTTTTGTACTGAATTGTACTTGGCCATTAGTTACAGTCAAAGAACTTGTGATTACATTTTAATCAGAATACCTTTTCACAGATCTTTTCTTTTACACATCACAGACCAGCAGCACAACTCCACACGTAGCTGAAATTCACCTAAAACATCTCAGTTCTATGAGGAAAGGCACAGACCTGACAACACCGTTTTTTCACTTTGACTACAACGCATTTAGTGAATTTTAAGGTCAATAGGCATTATGCTTTTTGCTTCTCCATTTCTGTTTTCCTCTCAGGTAAGGACATAAGGCACGTTTTCATCTTCCTTCCTGCATCAAGGTTATGAAGTGTGGTTTGATGTCAGGGCAAGTCAGATCTGCAGACAAAATGCCCCAAATTTGAGCCTTACACTTTATTCATGACAGCTCAACTGGTCTTAATTTGAAATATACCCAAAACACACATCATTCAATGTTCCTCTGAAGTCCTTTACACTAAATTTTGTTATTTTTTCCACATTTTTTGAAGTATATTCAACTGACTCGCAGGTGTGCTAAGATGTCCAACACACACAGGCTGAAGGGAGACCAAAAATACCACGTAGGCCTGACATTGCAGCGAAACACAGATCCAGGAGCTTCCTTCTACCCATCAGGAATTCTACAAAACCAAAGACAACACTGTGCAGGAGCAAGGGTGCAGAAATTGTCCCCTAAACCATATGAGTGATACAGACATGGAAGCAATTCAGGAGAGAATTGTTCTGTATAATGGATGCAATGCCCAGCAAGGGCAGGAAGTGTCAAAAATCAAATAGGATGAAGCTCATAAAGTAACATTTCATTACATGCTTTTTCTGTCTAAAGCAAGTCTTTATTTTTCCAAAGACAAGGTACTTAGACACCTAAAATAAAAGCAGTTTCCACTCCTTTCCCTGTACTTCCCCAAACTCACCAGTAATGTCAGCGTGCATCTGCACAAAGAGAGGGTTCTTGCTCAGCCCACCACACAGAAACAGCGTGTTGATATCATGTCCTGCAGCCTGCATTGTTTCCAAAATATGTCTTGTTCCTAACTTCAAAAAGGGAGAGAAAAACAAGCCAGATGAGCACAGGAGAACAGAACTATACCTACATGCAAAGACATCCCCGCCGAAACTTTCTGTTTACTTTGTGTAACAGCATCTGAAAATCCCTCTCAGTGAAGAGGTTTCAATTCTGAAGCCAAACGGCAAAACAGAACAAAAAAAGAACAGCAAATAAAACTCCCTATGTTTTCTGTCTTTTCAGCAAAAAAGAAAACCTGAAGAATTCTGTATTGGTTTAACTATTTCTCTTGGCCTTTGCCCTACACAAAATAAAATGTTCTGTTTCATGCCTGGATTAATTGAAACATCTGAAATGCAGGCGTATTTTAAACTTTTCATTTACAGTCTCAGTTCTGAGAAACTCAAATTAGAACAACCAAAGCAAATGCTTTACCATTTAAAAAAATTAGCTTTTCTCCTTTTGTTTGCTTTGCTTGCCTCCAGCTCCTCACTGAAGACAACCTTCTCCCTATTTCCCTTTTTCAGGAGTATTTTACATTTTTCTGACAAACTATTTGACCAAAAATAACTCCCAGCTCCTTGTAATACCTTAGAAGTTAAGTTTGAAGCTCAGACTTGACAAAATGTCAAATTTAAGGCAAAATGTTGCCCAGGCCGATTCTTTGTAGGTAGATTCCTCACAAAACACAACCTGGTCAGAGTTTTCATACACTAATGTTTAAGTTTTCTTTACGTCATGGTGCAAGTTCATTAAGATGTCTGCAGCTGCAATAAACTCCTCTTCAAATAAAAGCCACTGAAAATTGAACAAGCAGAGTTCCATCAGTCAGAGACATCCACGATGAATGACCAGCACTTTTCTGGACAGGTCTTCAAACATATTTTGATTTTTAGGCAAGCAGTTAAGAGGAACTTGAGCAGCCACAACCCCAGCTGACTAAATCCATCGCTTCCCTATTGACACAGAGGGCTAATTTCCACATCCACAATTTTAATTATGGAAAAATAAACCGCTCTAAAAGGAGTCTGTCTGCTCAGAACGGGCCACAATTACATCCCTGATCGTGTTCTCAGCCGTCCAACTGTTGCATCGCATTTTGCAGTGAATGGTTAAAAGGAGATTCTCTTTCACTGCTTCTGAAATTCAAATTTATTAACAACTTCTCTCACAACATACACACGTCAAAGACCCTGAGAAAGAACACGCTGTGAAAATTATTTTGTGTTTACCTGCCTGGAAAATTGTATTCACACAGCAATTTAAATTAAAGCCAGACTTATTTCACCGTGGGTGGGGGGGGAACTAATTTAATCCTGGATTGGAGAAAATGCAAATTGAGGGGCTTCAAATGCAAATTTTATATAAAAAGAAAAAAGCATCTCCTGCTGAAAAGAAAACTAGAGATTAACATTCTGTGGGCAGGCCTACACTTTGTACAAGATTTTTACTTGGGTTGAAAGTTTATCTTGCACCCATTGAAGGCAGCTAATGGTGCAGGATTACTACAACTGTTTCCTTCAATAAAAGTGAAGCTAAAATTGGGAGTGAAGGAGCATGGGAGGAAAATTAAATTTCCTAGGTGTCACACTGGCAATTAGGAAATATATCAAGTCAAAACCAATGTTCTCTGTCTACTTTTTAGTTACTGTTTCAATAATGCTTCAGGAAAAATTAATTTCCCTGAATCTACAATGAAAAGAAAACCATGGGACGTCCTTTTTACATTAAATCAGCCCGATCAGGTATCAAAAAGATATACAGCTGCTGAATTTAGTGTTCAACACAGTATTTGTGTTCTACAATAAAATCTGAGCTGTATCATACAATGAGATAATAGGTGACTTTCCCAGGATTTCCAGCAGAGAAGGTTTCCACTTCGTTAGCAGCATATAATCAGGGAGCACCTGTTCCAGACTGGGAAGTTCCTTTCAGGGGCAGTATCAGTCCCTGGCATTGTTCAACCTCTCCTAGGCATTCCTATTTCAATGGTGGGATTATGCTGAAGCATCAGGTATAACCAAGCTACTTTCCTCTCAAAAAGGCTCAAAACTCACAACAATGAATTCCAGGCTGGGGTTAAGTTCCTCTTATTTGCTGAAGAGGGAGGGTTAACACGTAAGATGGACAATTCCCAGTAAATTCACAGCAGCCGCCCACCCTCTCCATCCCAGATGGCTGACCCAGCCTAGCAAAGTTGTTGTTTAACCAGGAGAGGAGTTTGGAAGTTTTCCAACTGAATAGAGTTTTGTCAGGAAAACTCCCCAATGCATCAAACTGTTAATATTTTGCAAAAAAATGCCTCAAGTTCAGCAAACTTTAAAAAAATTTAAAAATCACAGAAAGGATGTCAAAGGAATGTGGATTTTGGTCACCAAAAGACCCCATGGAAAATACCCTGTGCCAGGTTTTCCAAACAACTTCTGTGACCCAGGTTTTTGCTTCAGAACAGAACTTCTTGTGAACTGGAAATCCTGGGTTCGAGAGAAAATCAGGGCAGAAAGAAAAGTATTCCAGTCAAATTGCCCATTTGAGTGTTGGCAAACATCAGGGACATTTCAGAGCCTTCCTGCCTGCTCCATACATCCACCCGGACCCAGGCTGGGAGTGCCATGGGAAGCAGCTGCTCTCCTTGGAGCAGGGACACAAGGGGGAAGATCTGCTCTAGTGGGTCTGGGAGCTGTGAACTGCATCTCAGACCCTGCTGCTCACTGTGCCACAGAGCTCTGCCTCATCCACCAGACAAGCAGGGGAAATCCATGGATTTAGGAACAATCTGAAGCTAAGGCTTTTAGGGGAGCTCAGGGTCCTTTGTACAATTGCCAAAGCTTTTTTCTCCCCTCTCAGCTTCCCTCTAGACAGCCCATGGTGTAACACTACTCCACGGACTATCAGCTCCTTCCTCACATCTGCACCAGAGGAAAAAGCTCCATTTACAGAACTGCCATAAGGAAAAGACTTTTCAGGGGAACATTTTCTGCCTGTCGATTCTCCCACAGTTGGGAATAGTCACCAACACGGATAAACAACCTCTTGCTCCTTTAAGAAGTCCATTAAGTGAATTCATGTATTATTAGAAATCTGGTTAGCAGAAGGTAATGATCACTCTGCTACAGCACACGAGACAACTCATTTCTTCTTTTATGCACTTAAAATGCCTTACAGCAATGGCTTGGATCGTGGCCAGGTAGATAAGGGCAAGTTCATCCAGACCCCGGGACAATGTCAGTCCAACAACCTGTGCAAAGATCAAAAAGAAAATGTACAAATCCAGCCAACATAAAACTCTATTATTTTCTATGGCTTCTTGTTGTAACAAGTTTTAAACGCTAATTCTGAGCCTTACTTTTGTGAGCTGTACACATAATGCTATGTTAAACATGTTATTCCTGATCTGGGGAAGAACCACATAAATTATTCTTGCCCTTGCAAAGAAATAAAGAACAAACAGCATATTGTATGGGATTAGAGATAGATTAACTCTGACAGTTTTATGTTATGACTCAGATATTGCTCGTGAATGTATTTAATGTAATAATATGAAAATGCTATTACATAAAAATAACTTTTTAAAAGCATTTCTCCCCCCCCATCCAAGCACCCTAACACTGAAACACAATTAATAATTAAATACAATATCTTAGCCTCCTTTACTCTGACATAAATCAATACTGCACTGTAGTTACTCTGGATTAATATCAGCATAGGCAAGACCTGAGTGCAGCCATAACTGCGACAGAAAAAATGGGTTGCTATTGACAGCATTTGCATAGAGGCATCATACCAAGGAAGTTCTGATTCTGCTGCAGCATATAATTCTTTCATAAAATAAAGCAGGTATTATTAGGGCCCAAAAATATATAGGCCTTTTTTATTCTTTTAATGTTTCCCTCATTTGTGATTTAAATGCTGCAGTGCTTGTACCCTTTCCTACCTCAACCTCAAATACTGCAGATTTTGGTGCTGGTGAGTAGCTTGAGAAGCTCCTTTCAAGGACAATATGTCATTTTGAAGGACATTTATGCATTAATCACCAGGTATTTTGATATCACCAAATTATACCCTTATGGCATTCTTCTGTCATAGTTCTGCACAGCCTCGTGACCAAGCTGATCTACCACCATAAGCTCAGTAACAAGAAACATCCAAACACTTAAAAATGGGCTGAAAAGCTGTTTAAATCAAGCAATATATCATCAGAATATTTCACGCCTTTTCCTGATAGGTTTACCCAAATCTGTGTTGAAATTCATTGCAAGAAATATTCAAAATTTGGTAGACAAGTGAGTTAGCAACAGCAAGCACTGTGAAATGTGACTCCTAGGGAAGATCCTGGGACACACAGAGCACTCCTCGTATTTTTAGAAAATAAACGTGGCTGTGGTGATATCTCAACTACAGTGATCTCTGGTTTTCTACTGAAACATCAGCACACTTCAAAATGCAGCAAGGAACCCAAATCCTACAGGATAGTGTAAATAGCTAAGGAGGAGTACACCCAAATTGAAGAAAAGCTCCTTTTTTTTTTTTTTTTTTACCCTGTATTGACCTTTTTGCAAAGACAGGCTGTTTCTTACCATGCCCTTTAGTGTCAGATCTGTTAAGGGAGATCTGTTACCATGGAAATCTGGCCAAACATGCAAATCAACAGTGAGGAAACCCACAGGCAAAGATTTCTTAATCAGATCCAGGTGACTGTTCAAGTATGTATATATGCTCTGAGCACTAGGAGAAAAACAAGTTGGAAACAGAGAAGGGAGGTTATTCATCAAACATAAAACATTTGTACTACCATCAAATGCACAAAACCCATCAAAGAACAGCAAAATCCCCCTGCTTGCCAAGCCCATGGCACTGAGGGACGTCTATTTGCATGTGTGCTCGACAGGCCACCTGAATTCCTTGATTTCACGGGATGAGGGGAGATGATGTGACCTTGAGTTTGTATGTTGACTCCTCCAGGTCCCTGGAGGAGCCAGAGCTGTTTGATATTTGGGGCTGCTGATGCTCGTCTCCCACAGAAAGGTGCTGACACTGTGCGAGGAAAGCTGGAGAAAAGCAGGCGGAGAGGGAGGAGTGAGGAGGATTCCAGACAGAAATGAAAATCAAATTCCTTTGCAAATGTTTAAAAATTTCTCTGATTAATCAATAGCATGTAGAGCTTTCCTTTTTTAAACCATAATTATTTCAGTGTGTGTTATGATTAAAATGCAGCACTAAGGGTGGAGGACAGAAAGTGAGTGGCTGCTATTTTAGGGAGGAGCCCACCATGGGCCTAAATATGATTGTATCTCAGTTCAGATGCTACACCCAACTCCACAATATCCAACAGACTTTTTCCTGGACCTAGGGCTAATGGTGAATTCTTCAGTGCCTTGGCTTGCAGTGACTCTGGTGACATTCCATTTAAAAAATGTTGCAATTATGCTCGGAATATTTTTTTCAAACACTCACCCTATCACAAACAAATCCATATATATTTTTCAACTCCTTAGAAATCTCCAAGTGGGGCATTTAATTCTAGACATGTGGGTCAATAACAGCATCTAACCCTAATTACAATTGATTAGTCATTGTCTCATCCACTGCAGACCCAAACAGTGATATTCATTTAGCCTCTGCATGTATATTCAATCATGCACTAATGAGATCCCTGAGGGAATTTGGCATATGCTTTACTAGTTTGACTTCTGACCCACTAGCAGCTGTATATTTATACTTTGCATTCAACCATTCAGCTGCATGTTTTTTCAATTATACCTTACCATGTGTATGCTATCAGAGGATATCATTCAAAATGAACTACACTTGGAAGACATTAAAATAACTAATTTACATCATTATTCACGTCCTTTAAAATGTACTTTATGTGTCTTCCTGGACCTAAATTATGATAATTTTGAGGTCACAATCATTTTTTTCCCCTTGTTGTGAAAGTGGCCTTGTTTTCTCCATCCCTAAAGACTGCACTATAACAGTACATGCTAAGGATAAAGTCATTTTACTTTCAGTCTAAATTAGGGTTTGACTGTTGGGAAGGGGGAAAAAAAGGAAACCTTCACTCAAGAAGACCCACCAGATATCCCAGCTTCTATCTCATCTCCATCCTGCTCGACTGCTCTCACAAGGATTAGTCATTTGTGCAGCTCTGTCAGAACACAAGGACTGAACAAGAAGAGGCTGAAATTGAGCCAAATATGCTTAAAACCCACATAAGCTTGGAATTACACTTTTTCCCCCACACCTTTATAATTTTTTTTTTATATATATATATATAGATAAGGTTTCAAGGGACTACATTTGGACTGGCAAAATCCTTCAAACACTTGCCAGTTCCTGTTTCTCCCACCTTTGGGTTATCCATTATAATATTCCATCAGCTCACAGAGCTTCCCTATTCAATTCTATGACAAGGTATCAGTGGCAGCTGCATCTCACCTGCAGAGCTGAGCATGAGCTATTTCTATGAAAAAAGAACTGTGCTGAAAGTGGAGAATAAGAAATCAATGCAAGTTTGCCCAGGTTTATGTTCATACTTGGGACATAACTTCAGAAAGCATCAACCAAGAGGTTGGTTTTTAATCTGTTCAAGAATCCTGGAACATGCCAACAGGTATCTTTCAGGGAAAAAAATCTAAAAATTTCAGATTTCTAAATAAAATTAAAAAAAGGACTCTAAACCATCTAGAGGTACAGAAAGCTGCCAAATATGGTTATTATGTTCCACTTGAGAGATCCCAGAATTGCCAACGGCTTCTGTGTGCGTAACTTCAAAGTTTTATTTTCAGGAGACATCTCTTTAGATGGGGAAGGGGCATTGAGATGTAAAGGAAAGGGAATTCTGTCCTAAAACACAGCACTTCACAAAGTGCCAGAGGGCACATCAACTTCGCTGTCAGTTAGATATTTTTCTCCTCCAAAAGATTAGAAATGGTCATTCCAGGCAAGAGAATTATTTAAACTTCAGAACACAAATGATCATAATATTTGTTTTGATTTCCTACTCTAGCCTACTTGTGCAGGATTTGGCAGATCAATAATGGTTAAATGTCAGACCTACACAATATGTAGGTTGAAGAGCAAAAGCGATGCATCAGAGCAATTTCTGCAACTCAATGAATTGCCTGGAAAAAAACAAGTTTTGTTGTTTGCAGAGTGCCAACCATTTGACCAAATGCTAAATTTACAGCTGGCCAGAAAATCCTCATGTAATTCAACCCTGTCCACTTCCAGTAAAAGAAGGGAATAAAGGACATAGGAATAGCACTGGGAGGGTTGCACAAGCCTGGTCCTCAGCAGCAGTGGTCAGCAGGAGCTGGTTGTCTGAGCCCTCACGCCCTTACAAGTTACCAGAATTACTGAACTGGTGATAAATGCAGCTGGAAAACTGCTCTGGTGTGGGCAAAGGAGTAGGAGGAGTCTGCACAAAGAAGCCTCTGGGATAGCTGCTCAGCAGGCACTTGCCATTCCATACCTGCTTATAGGCAGCATGAGGAGAAAGGGAGGGCAGGTTTAGGGATGCAGGAGTAGGTGAGAGGCAGCAGAAAGCAACAAGCAGGGATTTGTGACCTCAGATGTTCTTGTTTTAATGATCCAGACACGCATGTGCTTAACTCCTCACAGCACTGCATCTACCACGGTAAGTAAAGGTAATATGGAATTGCACACCCAAACATGGAATTCTCATTTTGTTTTCCTTCTGTGGCTGTATGCAAGGACTGAACAGATGCAAATTCCTACACCCACACAGAGAACATCCTAAACACAATAAAGCAGATTGTCTGAACTATTCTGCTGAGATTCCAGGCAGATAATTTATCATCATCACCAATAATCCTCCAAAACAAGACACTGTGTTCGAAGGGAGCCTGCCAGAAAGATGGAGAGAGACTATTTACAAGGCCCTGGAGTGACAGGACAAGGGGCAATGGCTTCACACTGACAGAGAGTAGGTTTAGATGGGATATTGGGACAAAATTCTTTCCTGTGAGGGTGGTAAGGCTTTGGCACAGGCTGCCCAGAGAAGCTGTGGCTGCCTCATCCCTGGAAGTGTTCAAGGCGAGGTTGGACAGGACTTGGAGCAACCTGGGATAGTGGAAGGTGTTCTTTCTTTAAGTTTAACAGATATTTCAGAAGGAAGGGGAGAAAGGGGATGAGGGACTTAGTAAGTGAATTGCTTATTAAATTTATAGCTATGTAAACATTTCATTAGTAGAGTAATATCTGGAAAGCATTACAAAAATACCATTGAGCAAATTAATAAAATACTATCACTCTTTTAATAAAATATTACAACTCTTATTATCAATACTGTTCTCCACAGTTTTAGTAATTGCAGGAGACTCAAATCCAAAGTTATGACATCATACCCTCAGATAACATGGAGTTCTATTCCCAATATTCTGTGTCTTGCTCACAACACACTCACGTTTTTGCTCTATAGCATTAGTTGTGATCAGTCAGTTCGGTATCAGACCCAGCAGAGACAAGGAGGTTACTCTATAGGCATTTTTCCAACAACAAAATACAAAAGGTTTATCCTGGCATTACAGACTAAACTGTTTGTCCTATGCTGGAGCTTCATATGGGGCACTGGAAAAACAGCCTGGAAGCCAAAATTCTGAAAAAGCCCCAGATCAATCTTTATTCCAAACATACACAGATGCATTTATTTCCTGATTTCTTTTTTCAGAGAACAACAAAGAGAATTCTAGGAAGCATGAATCTGTTTCATATTGAATGAAGTCCAATACATTTCTGGGAACCCTGGACAAGTTCTTAAAAAACAAGTAAGACAGTGGGCCCTGTAAGGGATGGAAGGGTCATCCAGAGAAACCAGGTAGCTTTATCCCCCCAAGAGGACTGAAAATAACTCTGTGACTGCACATATTTAATATAGGTATCTGGACTGACCCTTGTCTTTTAGACCAGAGGGATAAACTGAAGAGAAAATGCCAATTTTGCAGGTTTTTCCTTCAATCTAAGGAGGAAAAAGACATTAAAAGAGAATCAAATTGTCATCCAATGTGCCCAACTGTTCAGCTAAGACCTCTCTGGGAGTGATGTGAACCATCTTAAAAGGAATCCAAGCCAAAACCACTCGACAAAGTCCAGACCCGACAGATACGTCTGGACCATCTTCATCCACTTCTAAAGCAGACCACACTAAAATTCCACCCTGCCCAAAGCCTGCTGCTCAAGGAATCCTGGAGTTACCTCCAAGTCACTCCTCCATCTTGAGCTTTGTCTGAAAATTCATCCTGGGTTTCCCTGTTCTATTTGTGCTGCCATGCAGGAGTTTTCCATGCAGTGGCTGTACCTTCCTTTAGGAGACTGTTTCCAAAATACTGAGTAACATATCCTAATGAAGCTGTATCTCATCCTTGGAGCTTAGTTGTGTCACCTACAAATTCAGACACATTCTTGGCCCAAGGCATAGAGACAGGTCTGCTGAACAGGGCTGATGCTATAGAATCAAGAAATACCCTTGGACAGAAAAGCTGAAAACCAGTAACTTAATATATATAATAACTTTGATATGCCCAAGGTATCTGAGGGGAGTTTAAAGCTTTCATCTTTGAGCAATCACCTGGCAAGCCTTTGTAAATACTTCCAAGCCTCTATCAGACTGTTAATTCCCCTGTTTCAGAGTAAGGGCACTGCTGGGAATACACTGTGTCATCAGTTTGTAAGGCAGGTGTGGGATAAAGGAATAAGGACAGTGACCTGGCTGCAGCTTTTGACTGTAATTCCGGGAAGGCGACGTGGCCTCGGACCACATGATCGATCTGAAAAAGAGAAAATCAACACTTTTAGGATGATGGCATCTTAAAACTCCAGTCCTGCAAAAGTGTCATAACTTTAAAAAGACAAGGGAGTTTCTAAATTACTCATGAAGTGTTAAGTCCTAGTGAAGCCAATGGCAGAACTACCACTGACATTCAGGATTTGGCTTATGAACAGCAAGGAAAAACATCCAACCTTGCACCAAAAACTGGCAAATTGCTCAGTGTGCAGCTCCTCAGTCAGGGGAGCAAGGTGACAGGATGATGTTTTTCCTGTCTCCAACAGCACGTGAGAGCATGTCCTCTGGTCTCTCCCATTCTCCTGCATGCTTATCCTCATTGGAATTCTACCAGGAACATCTCCTTGGCTCAAATCCCTACACCTTTCTCTATCACTCTGTTGAAATAAAACACAAGGTGTGTTGTCATCCTGATAGATGCTTCATACATTCACTACAGGAAACAAAATGTATACCCTGAGAAGCAATTACTGCTATAAAAGAAGATCAATATAAGCTCTGTGTTATACTGAATTTATAAATCAACTTGTCCTTTCAGTCCAGAGTGGTTACCATTACTCACAAAACAAAGTATCAGGTAGAATAATATGGGCTTTTAAGACAATAATTCAGCAGGTTTTGTGGCCTCTTGGTAATATCCCATCACAGATGACAGTAAAAGCTAAGGAGGCAAAACTAGAGCTATTCAAGAGCACTGAGTATTTTTGGCAATACCTATGGGCAGAAAGTCACATCACTATTTAATTTTTAACAGCATGAGTCCAGTCCTGAATCAATGTAGGAAAATATATAACGAAGCAAACACATCTGAACATTTCAATGAAAATAATGCCTGTTCTTCCTGAGATTGGCATCAGACAGAACTCAAACGTGTGTCTGCATTAGAAACAAAGCTCAGGCCTAAATTCTGCAATCTTGCATAATCCCCTCAGAACACAGGGGCAGCTCATAAATTCAGAAATAAATCTATAAATAAACATCACATGAAAACACTTCTACAGTAAACTGTTGCAGGAGTTATGAAGTTAGATATTTAAATGCTCTTAATTCAAGACATGGCCACATTAGGGATGCATCTAGAAACCCTTTTCTGCTATTTTTTATTTCACAGTTTCTAATTATGTCATGCCATCCTCTGTCTCTTTTGTGCTATATCTTTCTTCTTATAAATTTTGAAAATCCAGTGCAAAACCCATCTAACATACAAAAAATCCAAGCTTTTTCAGAACAAGAGGACTTAATCCTTCATTTGGACTCTACAGTTTTCAAAACCCAACATATTTCTTCAGCAGCTGTATAAAAAAAATTAATTAGAGCTTTTTAAAGGGAAGTGTATCAGCTCCACTTTTAAGAAGCTGAACAGACTGTTCACCTTTATGAAGGTAATTAACCTTGGGGCGGTGATCAAGCAATGAAAAGAACCCCAAACATATCCTTTTTGTTTGTTTGTTTTCAGAAGGCTTTAAGTGTGAGAAAGCAGGATCTTAAAAACCTTCAGCTTTAAAATGACAGAGCTAATGACTGCCCTGTACCATCCACACAGAGCACATGCACTGGTTTCCTCCCATGGCTTTTGCTATGGGTCCTAACAAGACCATACATTTTTTCCAGCAATTTCTTTAATGATTCAGGAACATCTTCTGGTTCTCTGGTACTAGAACAGAAAGGATTGTTTAAATAATATTTTTCAAACATCCTAACTGTCACAGTACATTATAAGTGTGGAACTATCCTGGGCCAGCTGAGAAAAACCACTGACTTATTGTATCCTCTCTAGAGCTTAGATAAGAGTATTTACCTGCTTTGGATTAAACAGATTGAGACTTCCCTCTCAAAAGTGTCTTGCAAAGAAACACCCAAAATTTGCCACTTTCCTTTTAAAATGGGGGTGTTTTGAGCATATATTATTTTATATATACATAATATAATGTATTTTTATATATATATTATTTAGTTTTATTTCTGGTTGTAGCAGTTACCTATAAAATAGGACACCTTTTGGTCCTAGCCCAATCTGGACCTGAAAAATTTAAAGCACACAATTAAAAAATTAAAACACACATCCCACCTGCTGCAAGAGCATTTTTTAGCCACAAGGCTAAGGATGGGCTGGAGGTGGGATGGGAAGCAAGGCTGCAGGAGAGGAAGAGGGGTGACTCTCCCACTGAAGCCGTGACAGCAGAGAGGAATGTCAAGCTGACGTGGCCAAGGGGAGAGCAAGGAGGGAACACCATTGACAGCTCAGTGCTTGGGGTGTGTCTGGGATGATCTGTGCTTCTCATTCAGTGACTCTTCCATGTGGAATGTGTAAGTGCAGGGGATGCCCCAACCTATTTCCTGGCTGTGTTCTCCCATCTCCAGGCTTTTAAAAAGGTGGCTGGTGCTGGGTCTGAGTCAGAGCAGCTCCACCTGCCACTGGTGACAGAGCAAACGCACCTGCACTCGGTGGGGTTACAGGGGACACCCACAGGCCTGGGCCTGCCTCCTGCAGCTTCTCACAAGGCCTTTGCAGCTCAGTCCTAAGAGCAGTCAGACTGGCCAAGGAGACACACGGGGAGCTCTGGAAGCTCCATGGTTGAGCAATCACAGAGATCTTGGTGGTACTTTTGGACTCAAGCCTAAATAAATGTCATATACATCTTGCCTTTCTTTAAATTTGACATCAGTGTTTTAGCTCTGACTTCCTGTAAGTAAGAAAATTCACTTTTTAGGTAATCCAGCCTGAGTTTAGGTTTTCATTGGTAAATTAAATTAGCCTAATACTGTTAGACTCTTTGTATTCATGGAAAGAACTGAGGTGACAGGATAACATGTTACTATATTACTATCTGTCCATAAAATACATCTTTAACTTATGCCCATCAATGAGCACAATTGATCTATGTGACACAATATGTGCAGTTTTCTTTATCTCAACCTCCTGCTGAAGTAAAGAATGAAGCCTATTGGCCTGTAAGATAATAACAATAATCATCATCATCACCATAAAAGGAAGACATGCCCTGTATATAATCCCTTATCCATATGCAAATGAACAGTTTGTAAGAGACATAACAATCAACTAATTGTTCATTGCTTTGAGCAGCCTGTATCTCCCCTGATCTTACAGAGGTGCTTCAGGCAGAGCTCTGCCTGAACCAACAGTGAAGTTATCCCAAATGACAGCAATTATGCCAGACCTCCCATCCTGGAGTCTGCCTGTGTCTCCAAACACTCACCAGCTTTCCTGTAGCACTTTGACCTCCCTCATTCAACCACAGTCCAGGTACCATTGCAGAGAAATATGGTCCCCAAACACCAGGAACAAAAATGGGTTTTTCACTGACCTGTAAAAGCAAAAGAAAGCTCTCATGAGTCAAACTACCTGTTAAAGTAGGGACTTCACAACTAATGCTTGGCAGCTCCTGGAGTCCAAGACTGAAACAATTCCTGCTCCTCCACAGAAGTTACCAGCAGGAGTGGAGATCCAAGGTTGAGATTTATTCCAAGGATAATGTGGAGATCTTCCAATCGCATCACTTTTAGCTCACATGACACAACTGCAGCTACTTTTCACACAACTGCCCCCACCCTGACAGCACAGTTTCAGGAATGGGAGCTGTATTTTACAGGAAGAAGGAAAGTGCCTCATTTCTCCAGAAAAACACCTTATTTAGAATGAACAGTTGGATACAACGCTCTATTGATTGTCCTCAGCAAATACAGACAATGTACTCGGTGATGGGTGTTTGCAGAGTTAGGAATTGGGAGGGAATCCTGCTGCCAGAGGACACTGCTGCAGTGCTCCCACAGAGCTGCCAGAAGACTTGGGTGCCTTGTGTGGAAGCTGCAAACCTGGGCTGGGCAAAGAGGGATGTGCTTGGTATGGCCAACAGGAAACATGTGCCTGGTTAACATCAGAATGTGCCTCTTACTCAGGCTCAGCTTTACATAAACCACTCCTTCCTTCACAGCCGTGAAGGCAGATCAAGGCAGGTATCTGAGCACTCTCCTACAGAAACAACAAGCCCCTCTTCACACCAATACACCCCCCTGTGCACAGTGACAGCTGCCCCACACAGTGTTTTAGTGGTTAGACCACTCAGGATGTGGGAAACACTGCTTCATTTCCTTTCTCTGCTTCAGAAGATGCAAATTACCACTTTATAAGGGTGGAGGGCATTTTCCTTCCTCCTAAAAAGCTGTTCCACTTTCAGTAGACCAGGTAGACTTTCTCAGCTTTCATTCTGGGTCAGCAGAAGGCGTAAGGAGGTCCTAGTACTTGCTCCAAAGCCTAGTTGTGTATTCCTGACTGGTTGAACATTGAATTCTGGCAGCAGGGGCTGGAGGAGAAAGGTCACCATCCCCTCCCAGGCTACCTTCTTCTCTTGGAAGCAGAATTCATATTTTCTCTTCCAGGACCACATACACAAGAGAACAGCAGTGCAGTCCTGCACTACCACATGATGTGTGATGCACTTCCCACCATTCCATGTTAATGGGATGGTTAAATCTGCAACTGTTGTTTTCTAGAAGGTGCTTTGCTCCCAGAGAAGGAAACAAGAGAATTAATTCCATAACAAAACAAGTCTGTATGTTTTCAATGCTGCAACAGCAAAAAAGAGTGGTCTCAGTCAATGGAACAATGGGGTTTTTTGTATTTAGACCTTGCTCCTCATTAGCAAAATTCTAGACCCATTGAAGGATGCTTAAGGTTTGCTATTGATTCAATAAGGCCTGGATTTCATGTCAAAACAGTTTTGAGGCCTGTTCCTGTTAAACATGATGCACATTCTCCGTATATTTAAACAGGCCAAACTTTAAAGACAGTTTTTACAAGCAACGAGGGAATATGCTCCAAGATGCAGTTTACTGGCATTTGTGCATCACACATGTTTAGTAAATACAGCAGCAGGGAGGTTTCTGCACAAACAATAGTCTGTTCCAGCCATAAACTCACAGTACAGCTGATTCTTGTCATGAAGTTAAGTAGGAAAACAAAAAACCCAAAAATTTGTTTCTCAAAATACATCAGCACAGTGTCAAGAAATAGTGATTTCTCTCAGGAGGGCATCTAACAAATACAGGAATCTTGCTGGATTCTCCGTTATCAGCTCTAAAGCCCTGACTTACTTTCCCTAAAGATGTAAGTGCACACATGTGTCTGTGTGTCTGTGCAAGATTTTGGCTGACTAAACCAATTATAGAGCAAGAATAGCTACACTGAATTCACAAAGGCATTTATGACTCGAAGTGGACGAAGCTACGTCAAAAACATTGCGGAGACATTTGGTTTTGTTTTGTTTTCTCTTAAAACTACAAATTAATACAGCTTTGAGTTTTCATCACCTCGATGGGGCAAGGCTTCTTTTACAATTTCAATGAGAAAATGAAGTGCAAGAAAAAGCAAATCCTAAACTAAGCTGATTTTTAGACCTATTCCACATCACTGACCTTACTGAGAACACACCATGTCTGTATCTCCTCCCAACTGGTGATGGAAGCGTGGGGAGAACCCAAACATCCCGTCTCATTCCCATCTGATAGCTGTGGACACAGCATTTGTCTCTACAGGTGACAAGGAACATTTAGGGTAAAAGGGGCCAGGGACTTTGAAGTCTTATCTCAGGAAATTTTTGATGCAGCAAACTTTGCAGTGTTCTGTAGTTCACTGAAGGAAAAACCTAGTTACACCAAATGGATCAAGCTTAAAATCCAACTGCTGTGTAGTCTGAAAAAATAAATAGCCAAAGGGCACTGAAAGCATAAAGTTGCTTTGTAGAAGGACAATATACTTTATAAAATAAAAACAAAAAACACACCTTTTTTTCACCATTAGTCCACAATTTAGCAAGTTGTCCTCTGTGTCTGATAAAACCAAAAGGTTTAAATTCATTAGAAGACCAAACTCTCCCTGCAGTGAGTACTTCTGGTCTAGTACTTTGGACACCTGCAAGAATTTGCCAGGACAGGATATTTCCATGCTGGCTGCTCTCAAATTACACTGAGACCTTCCTATCATCTTACTACTGAAGTACTGTCTGTTCACATTCCAGCAAACTTTCAACACAAGAACAGAGCAAACAAGGGAACTGGGAATTGCCACACTGATGGACAGAGGCAGTGGGGTTTGGTTATCAGTTACTTGGTTATCAGTTATCAGTTTTATTGCTGTGGGAACTTTTAACTGGAATAAAAGAACCTTGGCTATTATGCATTATTTGATGACAGGGCATCATCAGATCTCCTATTTCCTCCTCTCACTTAAGGGGTTTAATTCACATTTTCCCTACTCTGGGTTTTGATGCATGAGGAAAGTGAGAAAAATGGGAATAACATTCTCCCCAAAACAGACACCAAATCTTTGAGAAGTAACAGGGTGAACATCCTTCCATAGCTCTATGCATAAGAAATAGCAAATGGTTTCCATTTCCCTTCCTTGAAATATTTGGATGATGATTAAGTCTTTCAGGCCATGCAGCAGCTGGCGTTTGTATTTTCATAACAAAAGGTCCGTATTCTGTTTGAGTATACATCCCACCCAATCCCACCAAAACACATGACTACACAGAAGTGTAAGGTTGGAGAAAAAGTGTAAAGTTTGCCACAGAACCCAGAAGAAAAGCACAATTTGCCAGATTCAGGGCTATTTTTGTTACACTAATACCATGTCTCTTTTATAGCTTTCAATTGCCTTCAGACATTCTCATGATGATATAGGAGGATCAATGCCATTATTTTTTTTTCCTTTAATGAGCTTAAGAAAATCCTTAATCTTTTTAGTAGAAAAACAACATGTGTTTTAGATTTATGGGCAATTGATTTTTATTTTGAAAGCAAATAAGAGATGTCATCCTTCTATGGAAGTTAACATACAAATTCAAAAGGAGCCTCAGATTTTCTGCCTTCCATTTAACTGAAATTCTTTCTGTGACACACTCCTATTGCAAACATATTAATGTTTATTATCTTTTACAAAGAGTGAAACTGAACACAGAGAGGATTTCCTCTGCTAGACCTCAGAATGATCTCTGCACAACAACGAAGCAGGAATTAGAAGACTGGAGATGAGAAGCTGAACTTATTCACACTTTGAGTCATAAGCTGCACCTATAAATATTTCAGTTGAACGTGTTCACATCGAGACTGTTGCCCCCATGTGTGACGATGCCAACTTACCCAAGGATTATACTCAGCCATGCAATTTCACCTCACAGTTACTCTGTCTGCTGATGGGAAAGAACCTCTTTTGTGCAATAAAATGCCACCTTTCCATGTCTCCCCAACACACACACTCCTACTTGCTCAGCCCCATCATTTCAGATGAAATGAGCATTAAGCAGTTCCAAGATTCCTGCTCATTTGAAGGGAAAAAGGCTTGAACACCTTCTGAAAGGGAGAAGAAGGGAAATAAAGTTCTGTCTGGGAGGGTTTAACCTCGGCATGTGCTTTATAAAAGATCATACTAATATGTAAGATATGTAAACATTATAGAGCAATCAGAAACAAATGAAATGATGAATTCAGTTTAACAATATTCAGCTGTGGTGCAAGTGCCAGAAGGCACTTTTTGTTATGAATAGATCATTTGGATGGGTTACAGACCAGATTTGAACCCTGGCGTGTGCTAGGAAAATCAGTGTCAAACTACCTCAGATCAGAAGGTATCAGCAGTACATCTGGCAGCCCACAGAAATGAAAAATGTCTTTAAAATATATAAAGCTCTATAGAACTAAGCTAAAGTATGAGAGGACCTGCTTAAATGGCACTAATATGAGATATGTAATGTATTTAATTTATTTTAGTCCTTCCTACTTGCCTCTCCCCTTAGAACAAAAAGAGGCAAAAAAAGTCACTTCTATTATTAAAGTCATAGAAAAAAAAGCAGGACAGGCTAACTCAGGGCTCCTGTAAGTGAATCAGGGGAGCCAGTGCCTCCAATCCAAAGTAAGTTCAGCTTTCAGGACTATCATTTGGTTCAAGGATGGAACAGAACACAGACCTTCACAGAGGAGCATCTCCCAGGCACCCAGCCATCCCATAAAATGAGCAAGTGGCAGTGGGAGATTTATTTTACTTAGCTTTGTTTTGCCAGACTAGCCATAATGATCAGGCACATGCTTGTGTTTCCTCCTCAGTTTTATGTAAATGTTACGGCAATCAGAGACAAGATAAAATAAAACACACCACACTGGCGAGAGCAGGTTTGGGGAATCATGAATTCCAGCAGAATTTTCTTCCTTAGTTGACACCATCTGTTGCTGGTGTAGGCTTACACAAACTCCTTCAGTAACACTGACAAGAGAATTTGCTATTACCTGAAAAGTAAATCTTTACATTAAAAAG